CGTGTTTTAGTTTCCTCGAGCTATATTCCGATATAAAGTATAATATATTCTGTGCAGTAGGAAAAACAGCCTCAGGAGAACAATACAGAAGTCTGCATTTGTAGTGTTTGCCCTCTAGAATCTCCCAAGTTTGGCAGCAAATGACACATCTGCAAGGCAAAATAAACTTATAAAAGGATTATAATGTAGCTACTACAGAAAACGGCTAACGTGAAGAAGATGTGTTAATCAGAATGCAAAGTCTCCAGCGCCTAAGAACTGGTACCTTAGCTTTAAGCACCGTATCAGCTATAGCCTATACGACTGCATCTTCACAGCCACCTGTGCTAGCATGTGCTGGAAGTTCAACACACAACTATCTATCTGAATTGTGATAAGTCTATCTGTACTACACATCCATGAGGAGGTACATTTATCTAAGATTTACCTATCAAAGAATCACAGTGCACATATCTCCCTCAGAGCAATGACAGAAGCTTCAATCTATTCTCATTAATGTACTTTTGAATGGCGGCAGCTCAAATTACTTGATTTGTTAATCATACCCTAACATTTTGGATCACAAAATAAAAGGTAGAAGGAAGAAGCTGAAAGCAAGAGGTGAGATCAAGAAGACCATCTAAGGAAGTACAGGGAAGGTATCCTAGCAATCATCACCCTTTACAAGTTGCAAGGATATAGCAGATTCATAGAAAAACCAAGACCATCCAGCTGAGGTCTTACAGTGAGCTATGAGGAGCAATACACGAACAAATATTATATGACTGAAGAGAATAACAGAAATAGAGATGAGCATAAAAAAGAGAGAATAGCATCTATTCAAATGCTATCTAAGTCCAACAGATCACTTTTTTTTTTTCCCCAAGGTAGAAGTGGTTTCATGAATATTCAAGGCACAAGGGAGGCACAGAAACGCAGGGCTGCGGAGTGTATGCAACCACAGCACTGCACGAATTGCTGTGGAGCTGTACTTAATAGAAGAAACAGAGTGTGAGAAGAAAGAAAAAGGAATGAAAAATTCAGAAGCAGAGTGAGAGAACTGCTTAGGGCAGAAAGGCAAACAGGGAAAAAAAGGTAGAGTACAGAGGATAAAGAGAGACAAAAGAGCAGGTGAAAATAAAGGGCAGAACACAGAAAGTAAACTAGAAGACATACAAAGAAAGGGACTGACATGAGCTTGCTCTTTATTTACGCTTTTTACTAGTGATCAGAGACAGGTTATCAGGTTAATGGTCCTTCAGTGGGATGCTGTGCTTGCATGGACAAGTATGTGGAAAGGAGTTAAAACAATTTGACAGCTGTTAGAGAAAAGTGGGAATAAGGAGCAAGTCAGCTAAAGTAAGGATTTTAGAAGAATTGAGACACTCAGAGGGGCCTCGGAGTTTTTGTGTTGTCGGTCAGTATATTCAATTATATCAATTTCTTTTGCTTTATTAATGGTCATCCAGCCTGTACGAAACATACAACACGCAATATCATTTTCCTACATGTTATACGTTTTGTTTTGGTGACCCCTAAGTCTAAAACCAATTTAGACTGTACGTAACAGAAACAAAATATAAGAGCAAAAGCTTTCTTTAGTTTTGCTGAAAGGCATCAGCTGTAACACTAGAGAACTAAGACATATAGCTATTTGAGGAAAATTACATTTTATTACTTTATTTTTCATTTTCAAAAAGTGTTTCCAGTGCTTGCATGTCTGTTACTGTATTTTTTTTTTTTGCCTGTAGCTCAGATGTAGTGGGCAGTGTGCGCTGTGTTGGTCTTTGACAGCATCCTGAATGATGGTCGATCCCTCTCTTGAAGCTCTACAGCTCTACCTGACACTACTTACAAATGCTTTGAAGTTGCTTTGTAAGTAGATTTACACCTTTGAGTCTTCTACTACTAGCATTGCTTAATAAACTAAGGTACTGACAATTTTGTACAGACAGAATAAACAAGACAATCTCTGCTCCAACAACTTTTAATCTACACCTAAGATAAAAGAGAGCAGATGGATAGAGTGGGGTACTCCCACTCCTCCACAAGGAAGCAAAGAAAATTATTTTGGTTAAGGTAGTAGGAGGATGTGTCAATCTAGCGAGGTGACATTTCTTGTGGGGGAGTTTTAAAAAACAATTCAAAGGAAATGTCTTTGTGGATGTTTACAGGGGACATGTGGGACGCCATGATGATGGCTGACAATCTATCAGGCAGTGGAAACTTGCTACCAAATGAGCAAACACAAGAATAGTAAAAGTCTCTGTGTTGATACAGAAAGAGGAAAAAGCGGATATAACCATACAGAGAGTGATATCATCAAAGTGGCAAACAAGAAAATGATGTATGTCAGGCAACACTGTAACTGCCAAACTTGGAGGAAAGAAAGCTGCTGTTATGATGTGAGAAGTCCTAACAAAATTTCCATCTATGCAGAGGACCAGAAAAGGTTTTAGCTCTAAAATTACGCAGAAAGAAAGTGAAGTGATGGATCCTGATTAGAGGAACTTTAATGATTTCAGTCCAAGATGTTCATAAAAGAACTTCTATGACAAAATGGATAATGTTCACAGGAAATCTGGAGCAGATTTGGGGGGCCTCTTTTTATCCATCTTCTTTGTTTTAACAGCATATACCCACAAGTTGACTTGAGAGATACAGAACTGTGGTAAATTTAAAATAGAGTCATGGATCTGAACTATGCATACAGTGTTGGAGTTTATATTTATCAGCTATAACCTCACTTCCTAAATCACAACAAGTTCAGAGCCTGTTTCTTGTAAGTGTCTTTTCCAACCATGATTCTATGATTCTATTGTCACACATTAATTTATCCATACTGACATTATGCTTCACATGCTGCTTCAATTCTCATTCTCATAAAACCCTTCTGTAACTTTTCATTGTCAAATTTAGACTGATTGCACTCAATAATTCTGTCAGTATCAAACTTTGTTCACTTGCTTTTTGCCTCCTGATCATTTAAAGAATAGTGGGAATATCACTTTTGAGTTCCCACAGCGGAGCACTAAAATAATTCCTAAGCTTCAGTTCTCTTTTAGCTGTAACAGTACTTGAATAATAAAGAGAAAGAATGCAATGAGAGATACAAGTGCATTTCAGGTCTTGCAACATATTAAGAATTAACAGAATGTGTTAGGCTGAAATCAATGTATTGAACTGAAGACAACAGAGAAAGTTTTGCTTTGGTTTAAATTTAAAGAACTAAAATGAGGACAAGTGCTTACCAAACAGCTTAATGTTCTCTAAGAATAGTGAAGAAGCTGAATTCTGAAAAGAACCTCTTCAAGAATCATATTATTGCTTGTTCAATAGGCCATTAAGCTAAGCGAGTCTTTGACCAACTGCACTTTATGTAAAATAAGTTGTGAGGAACTGACTCAGGAATATCAAACACATGTAAGTGCACTAGAATCTATATGAAGCAGTAGAAAGCCAGGTTTTTGAAAGGGCAACAATTCTAAAGTGATGTAAACCAGATATTAGTTTTTGCCTTGCCTCTCATCAAGGGAACTAAACTGCTTGAGATACTGTTGTATCTATAACAAGCAGGTCACACTGTCACCAAGAGAATGGCAGAAGTTTCACTTAAGTCTACAAGAGCATCTCCCTGTGGTAGCACAATACATTTTTAATTCTGTTCTTCAGATAAACTAGAAACAAGACAAGGATTATTTATCTTTTATAGCTTAAAATAAATAGAACAGGCTATTTTTTTTTCAAATGACATGAAAGAGCATAGAATGGCATAAGCCACAGACACATTTTCTGTAGAAAACCCACAGACACGTTAAAATGTTATTCCTTACATTTTGCAAATTTAGGAATCTAAAGAAAGAGATGACCTGTTCAAAAGGTTTTTAAGGCCCATCAGCTAACATACAAGAATCCAATTTACAGGAGAGCAGTGAAGGGATTGAAGAATGGAAGACAGACATCGGAGATGATGGGAGCTGCAGCAGGCTGAATACCAGATGCAGAAAAGCATATTCGTGTATAAAAGGCTTTTGTCATCTGAAAGAAGTCACACAAGAATGATTGCAGACACTCTGCCTGACAACATGTTGACTTTCTTAGACCTTTTGCTTTTGATGCAAAACGAGATGCCTCATTGCTCCGAGTATGTGTATCAAGTTGTTTAAAAAATACTTGAAAACAAAAACAAACAAAACAAAATCAGCAGGATTAAATAGCAGAGCCTTGGCTGCTATTCAAAAAAAGAAGGCAACCTTCAAAGCACAACGTTGTGGCCAAATGAGAAAAGTAATTATCATACATCACGTGAGTAAGGGCAATTTGTGAAAGGGTTAAGAACCAACAACAAAATGTTTCAAACGCATCAGAAACAGATTTGCAGAGAATTTCAGTACACAAAAGGACCATTAGAAAACTAATAAATAAACACAAAATCCCTCAAAAAACAAAAAATCTTTTTGCTTCTATGGAGTTTGAAAAGACTGCCATATAAGATTCATCCTTCAGACATTCATTCATCTGTCTCAAATATTAGCACCAGCAAAAAGAATTATAGTCTGAATAGACAAAACGAGAAACAACAGATGAGTAGAACCAGATGATGGTCACCCAAAAGAAACATGGAAATAAATCTCTGAACTACTATCATTACGACAAGGTATTTCTCCAAGGCTCTTAAGCTACCATGAAATAAGAGGAAAACTTCTCCCATGGGAAAAGAGCAGATAAAAGTCTTCAGTGTGAAACTAGATCATTCACTACCTTTCCTGTAATCATATGTTTACATTGGTAGATACAAATACACTGACAAGCTACTATCCATATATAAAATATTCATGACTTTCAACTTCTATGGATCTCCTAAGATTTGAAATGTTCTTTCTCTGTTATTGTACATGCCTAAATTAACCTTATTTTCGGCTACAGTTGAATGCACATATTCAATTTATAGTTTGGGGAAAAAAACAAGGATGTAATAAGTTCTTTGTAATATTTTTCTTAGAAGAGAGCTTTGTACTTACCTGCTTTTTGACACTGCACTATCTTCTCATATAAGCTATCTGCATTCTCAACTAGAGTCCTGATAGTCTGAATCATCTGTAGAGAAATTAATTAAAATATACATAAGTATGAGTAAAATGAAAATTATAGTGATGATAATTTTTAAACTTTAGAAGATTATTAAGTTTGAACCAAATTGATAATCTAATATTTATTGTTAACATAGTAAATATATTTGTTTTCGTTGTCACGACCAGGCAGAAGACTACTCTGAATTTAGTGTAATGGCATAACAAATATGATCTTTATGGGCTGGGATCTGGGAACACAGATATAAGATAACAACTCCATTCCCATCTGTCCACTACCTGTCAAACAAGTTGAGACTGTACAATTATTTACCAACTAATTCATTTCTGGCAATTTGGGCAAGACAACCTGGTTTCCTCTTCCTCACACACCCTGACATTCAGGATGATGATCAGTCACCAACCAGTACTTTCTTTCTCCTAAGTATCATTCCTCACTTCCCTTTCTGTGGCTTCTGTGTGCATAAGATAATGTCCTATGGGGAAAAACATACAACCAAAGGCTGAAATTGGAAGATAAGAAAAACGAATTCTTTTACCTGATCTTTCTGAACACCAAGTTTTTCATGGAAGCTCATCTGAAAGCCCAGAAATAAAGATGCGACTGTGTACATTTTTCAGACTAGGATATGTATTCCAGAAGTGAAGAGGAGAAGCATTGGCTCTGGTCTACATCTTACCCTTATCTTTGGTCTCCACTCAAGCAGAGAGATTTCTCTTCACTAAAACAATAGCTAAGTCTGACATGCTGCTTGCATGTTTATGTGGAGCTTTCTCTTCCTTAAGAGACCAGAACTGATGTTACGAGCAGAGAAATGTTACTTGAAGACACCTATGGTAGCCCTTCTCTCCTACCAGAACGAGGCTCCTCCAGCTAAGTGACATTGAGGCTTTCTTTTTGAGCACTGTTCTCAGCAAGCTGTAGTTTAGTTTGGAGAAGCAGATGATAGAGCCCCAAATTCTGGCAAGTCTGCAAGCAAGCGAGGTGGAAGAACATCTGCACAGATGCAAAGCATGCTACACAATTCTACTATTTTCAGCTACACAAAACAGTAAGGATTTAATTAAGTAATTTACGTTAATTCTAGTTCTGTGTCTATGACTACAATTTAACGTGGGAGAATAAAGAAGGATGCAACACCCCAAATTCCATATTTATGTAAGATTTAAACAAAATGACCAGCAAAATTGGAGAATGCAGAAGTGCCAAATAATTTTTACTTTTATACATGTAAGCATCACATCCAATTTACCAGTATTTTATTTTCAATTTTCTATTTATCCTGATTTGCATTGTAAGTCGGTAAAAAAATGTAAATTACATCAATAAATTAGGAAATTTAATAACTTGATCAAATTCCTAAACTGCGAGTGAAATACTTTAGCCTACCACTTTTTATCAGGTTGTTCTGTGAATATAAATAAAAATGTACACTCAAACACTGCCTATAAATAGAATTATGCTCATTAATCATTGGGTAAAAAAATTCAGAACTATTTTAAAAAGAAGCATACTTTAAATACTTTAAATAAGAGAATGTTCTATTTTACTCAGGTAAGCTACTATGAGGAGCAAGCTGTCTTTTCCTGATCAAGAATAAAGCTGTATTTTGTCACGTTTCATTACAAATTAGGCTTTTAAAACAGTATTCAAATAATAACAATAGTGGATCCATTATAAATGTACTTGAAAGACAAGAAAGTTGAATATTTTAATGTGCATGTCAAAAAATACCTTTTATTCTGCAATTAAACAAAAAGAACCAGAACACAATTGACTTAAATTGCAAATATACTTGTAAATACTGAACAGGTTATTTTACCAACTAGCTGAGAAGATACTATAAAGCCCTCTACATCGAGCCTTTGCTATATAGCACTCTACACCGAGCCTCTGCTGCTTGGAAAGTTAATTTGTGAATGGAAACGCTGAGAGTGCGAGGCTCCTGTTTTGCCAGGATGCTGATGCTCAAAAATAAATAACTGCAGTGGGATTCTCCTGTTAGAATTTCTTTGATTTGAGAATTCCTTTTCACTGCAGTCAAAACAGGCTTAGTGTTAATTATGTTGACTATTATGAATTACTGATAGAGACAAATCGTGCTGCCCATTCGAAGTGTTTGTTCTAGATGAATTGTAAAAAAAAAAAAAAAAAAAGTGACTATACTGTTCTTCGTTACTGACTGCATGTGCACAATAATACAATTTCTAAGTCATCTCAGCCCAGCTCTCCTCTAGATGCAGAACAGCTCTATCATCTGCTCTGTTTCCTCCACACAATATCCCTCATATGCAGGTGTATTTAGATATTTAGAAATTGTAGGGAACAAGTCTCAGCAGATTAGAAACCTTACGCTTTCTACTCTGGCACACTGCCATAGTTTTTAGAAATAAGAGATTCAAGTTAGTGCGGAGTAGAAATGTTTACATCAATGTTGTTTACTTTTCCTACTGACAAAACAAGACAGTTGTAGTAATGCTGAAGATGAGAGGAAATAAAACAAATCACTGTATTAGCGCTCTTTCCATCATTGTAATGTTAAAACTGAAACAAGAATTTACAATAACTTGTACATTTAATATTTCACCATTTTGATACAGAAAGTTTGTTTGGTCTAAATACTCTCAGATCAAAAACAAATGTACACTTCTGCAAATTTTCAATGTGTTTCATGTGACAGAGCACAGAAATTATTCTAATATGACTCTTGATATTTACCAGTAATACCTATTTTCTTGAACCTCAGTCTTCTTTAAAACAGATATAAAACTGTGTTTAAGATTAACAGGACCACTAAGCTTAACTTGCTGAGCTAACAGTAATTCAGGGGTTGAATGTCACAAGTGTTCAAACATTATAACATACCGCTATCTTGTTAATGACAAAGGAACTGGTGTGGTTTTCTTTCTAAATCCAGTGCATTAAAGAGAGAAATGAACAGTATGTATGTTGTGTGCCACCTTTTAGTTGTGTTTCGTTAATAAAGAAACAGGATTAGTTAATTAAAATGTTACAGTTACACTGCTCTTCATCATATTATCATCTTTCAGTATGTGTTCAGCTATTTGCTGAATGACCTTTACTAGAAAAAGTGTCCCAATATAGAACTTCTTTCTAGAGTACAAACTAAAACTAGGACAACATGAAAACATTTGTATAGATGTTAATGAAGACTCAAACACTTTCAGCAGATGCAGCCTTTGAACAACTGAGTATAAATAACCACACTTAAAGAGAAAACTAGCATGATAAGGATGGTACTTGTGCATGTGTGTGTGTGCTGGCTGATAAGGGAGGAGGTAGGAAAGGAAGAGTAAGCAGCAGCTTTAGAGGAGGTTTAGATGGACCTTCCACAGTTGAGGTCCCAGCCTTGCTGAAGGAGCACATCTCCAGAGGTCCCTTCAACCTCAACAATTCTACAAGTCTATATAAATAAATATTTCAGTAAAATTGACATCTTCAAACAAACAAACAAAAAATAACAGAGCTTTCTGGCAGCACGCTGGTAGAAACTTGCAAACAAGACAATAATCAATAACAACTTCATTACAAATTAAAAAACGTATGTGGTTTGGCCCAGGCAGCCCAGAGCTGCTTTATAATGAAGAGCAATTGATCTCTGTGCTACTGTAAGTACTGTCCAAAAATGTCTATGTAAGAAAACAAAGCTGTTAACTGCTACTTCTGTGCACATTGAGGACTCATCATATCAAACCAAATTGCCTGATGGCAATAATTTTATTTAGAAAATATATTGTCTAAATTAGAAATGATTCCTTCAGCGATGCCAGAAAACAAATTTATGATATAATTACACACTGCCCTCCTCCAGGATCAATGCAGAAGAAGCCTCCCGAGCATAACGCCTTCCTGAACATACTGGCATATTGTGAAATAATATAATGGCTGTATCCAACTTACAGAGGCAAGATATTCCTTGTATGTGGGAGAAACATCAGAATGGACCCACGGTTTCACTTTTCCAGCCTTCCTTTCCTCTCTTACCTTCTTTTGTTCTTATTTTCTAGGAAACATATACATGGAACAATTTTGCTGCCTCCAGGAAGAAGCAGCTGCAATTATGCTATCACGCAGAGCAAGAGGGTAAACGATGGAAGTGACTTACCCAAAGTAACTCTTGTAAAGCCTGAGAAAAAACAGGACATCATCTGTTCTTAACCTTGCAGTAGCCCAAAATGCATTAGGTTTGCCACAGTTGTGCCAAAGGAACAAGCAGTCCTCAAGTTCTCCATTAAACTGTCTCTATGTCTTTCTTAATTCTCACGAGTTAAGCACTTGGGAAAGACTAGGTTGAAGGCAGTGTGAAGATGGGGTAAATAATATAATCATGAACAGCTATCCCATAAACTATGCACACAATGACATCAAACCATTTCAAATGCACTGTCATTTCTCCTTGCTTTCCTGATACTTAGATTGTCAGAGCAAAATGATTTTGATCAGTTGTAAACTAAACCTGATAGAATGAAGAACTATGTAAGAAGTAGAGCTTAATGAAGCAAGCTATGTGTATAAAAGGAAAATATCCCATATCGTTAAGAGAATTACTGTCCTTGGGAAAAATTAACAGGACCAATGCAAAATTGTCTTGGAATCGCGAAATATAAATAAGAAAAGTTACTATGCATCTGGCTTATTTTTATATTCTTCCAGTGGCGTTCCATTGAACAACCTTAGACCACACAGTAAGCTAGATGAAGGTGTTTTTTTTAATGTTATTTTATGTTCTTATGAATAGTTTGAGTCATCCATTAGCCATAATGGAATTGGTGAGAGGACACAAAAGCTTCCTCATCCATGTTCTTAATGAAAAGTGAAGATATCTTGACTTCCCAGAAGTGTCAAGTTGTCATTATCAGAGCTTTTTATTCAATACAGAACAACTCATACTTTGCATTTGGCACTGAAATGCCAATCTCCAAACTTAAGATATTTGTTTCTGCCCTTGTGGACTAAAAAGTCCAGCATATGGCTGTCACCTGCAATTCTGGTTTTGGATCATAATT